TAAAATATGAATAGGAAAACAAAGAAGATACTCGCAGAACATCTTTTTTACAAGATATAGGAGCCTAGCATAGTTCTCATAAAAAATAAAGATGATAAAAGCGATTATTTTTCATTACAACTCAAAACAAAATTGTCAAAAGAAATATAAAATGCATGAATGTTATTCTAACAAAATAAAACATGTCGATGAAAGCATGGAATGCATATTTTTACCAAAAATACCAAAAGCTGCACTTACTGTTCTTTACGCTGTCGGCTGTATGCGGTCAATATGTCCGGCCGACATATTGTGTCGGGCGAAGAAATATTTTAATTTTTTAACGTAAAATTTCAAAGAAAAATCTAAGATCATTAAAAGTTCTTTTTAATAGTGTTTAAAGCTATTTTTAAAATGATGGTATTTAATATTTATTTTTGTATTTATTTTGGCATCAAGATGTACACTGTACAATGTATATGAATGCCAGTGTTGATATATTTACAATAAATAAATGTCAACATTGGCAGGTTACAGGGTGAATGAAAATAAATGCAGATCTAAATTCTTGTGTTTTACACTTGCGTTTGTATGAATTAAACAGAATGTCCCAATAAGTAGGGTTCTTACTACTAATTGACTTACTACTTACTTGATTATCTAATTTTGAAGATACAACGAAAACAGAAAACATTTTTGAAAACTCATAGTGCATACAATCTTTCTACATTATCAAATAAATTATTTTAAATTCATCAAAAAAAAAATATTTATTTATCAATAATTATTTTTTATTTAGCAGATTAATTATTTGTATCCATCAAAATTTTCAAATTATAATTTTGATTTATCAAATATAGATAAAGAAGTCTTCTCTTTACTCCCATGTTTAAAGGGAAGGGAAGTATATTGTAAACACGAACTATTTTATTAATTGCTGATTTATTTCTGTTATTTTGTATTTTCCCTTGCTCCCCCTGTTAACATTATGCAGTAATGTATACACAAACCTTTAGCCAAGTATATGTCCCACTCATCAACTTTGATAATACTATACATCAGGTTAATCAACACATTCTTTACTACAAGCCAGGGGTTGAGCTTATCTGAACTATTATCTTGGTTTTATACTTCCATAACATGAATACAAGATCAGGGGTTTAAACAAGGGAGGGGGATATGGGGTTAAGCACCCCCCCCCCTTACAAAGTGAGAGAGAAAAAAAGATATTTCCAGATGAAATCTGATTGTGCACAAACCAAAATTGTAACTATAAAGTCTGCACCATAGTTTCAGTAGGAGTAAATATTTCCATTTACTGCTATAGCGCCGATTAAAGGATTTATCTCTAATTGGATATTGAGCTAGATAGAAAGATAAATGCTACCGCCATGCAATTTCTATTGGTTCAGAATAGACACCAAACACATGGCTGAACCCTGATTGGATCAGGCGCTAATGGACTCGGCATACTAGAGTGTCTGAATGACATTCTTAATCTTGAAAGCACAGACCGGCCACATTTATAAAATATTGTTTATTGTTGTTTAAAATATTGTCATGTTTCGTGGAACACTCTTTAAAAAAAGAATGAAATTTAAAAAAATAGCTATTTAAACAAGTTTTGGACTTAATAACCATTTTTGTGTATTCGATGATCATATCGTTAAAATCATAGATTAAAAACAATACAGATAGAACAATAGATGTCGCCTTTTCAAGATTTAGGGGTTTTTCGTTTACAATCATCCTGAGACAGAAGACCAAAGGAGTTAGGAGTATGCTCGTTTTGACATTCAACGCAGCATGCCCGTAACCCCCTAAATCTTGAAATGACTTCATCTAGTGTTCTATCTGTATTGTTATTAATCTATGGTTACAATATTCTGCCTCTCTGTCTTACACATTTCTGTAGAAACCAACGAGGTTATAGTATATAGAGTGATGATGTACGCTAATCCTTTACTAATTTAGCAGGCCATGTACTTCACTTCCAAAGGTCAATCTGTATATTACAGTACTCAGGGGTGATTTCTGAAAATATTCAAATGGAGATTTTTTTTCCATGTAACTATTAAAATCCACTACTCCAGGATTACATTTTCACAGGAAGACGTACTATTACAGTCTTTTACAGAGCAATATTTCATCGTTAATAAACGGTTCTGAGAAAACTGAGTAAAATTTAAGATACAAAACCTCCCCATACTCGTGTACTCCGAGAGCGTACTGCATATTCAATGTTTGTACTGAATCATTAGGTCATAATCTCGTAATATCCTTTATCAGTAAACTATACTAAGTGTACACTCTGGCTAATACACACGGAGAGGTAGTATAAGATTCAGCCCCCTTGGTAGAAACAAGCTTAAGAACCGACAACAAATTGTAAAGATTGTTTACAATATTTTCTTTTTTCGCTTAGAGAAGACACTGCAGAGGAGGAGCATCCTCTAATCCGATCATTTATCATTTTTCGATAAAAAACTAATTGAAAAATCCTATTTTTCTCTCAAACTCCAATAACGTCCAAGGGATGATCCCTCAAGATTGAAAAATATTATTTCAAACTTAAAAGTAAATCTTTAGATAAATTAAACCAAATATATATATCTAATATCATGTTCTATTTCTCAGTAGAAATGAAAATCTTTCCAACTATAAAATCTTTATTGGTCTGTAAATAAAATAAAAACTAGCTTCGGAGCTTTACAAATTAATATTTATCTCAATGACAGAGATATCTTTAATTTTTATCTTTAATTTTTCCTGTTATGATTTCTTTACATATATATTTTCTATCGCAAATCCGGGTTTATAATTCTTTTACGGTCTTTTGACCAGCATTACCGACCTATGATGATACCGGGCCCAACAGAGGGACGTTACGTTACTTAAAAGAAGTTTTCGTAAATATTTTGCGCATTTTTATCTCAAAAGACGGTAAAATTGTGTACGACTACTTTTTCGGGAAATTAAAAACTTCATTAAAAACATCTCCTGTTGTGCATTGGATGTTTTGTAGGCAAAATTAGTCTCATAGAAACTCTGATAAATTAAAATTGCCTGAACGTAAAGCAGTGGATTAAAATAAATCTCTCAAACTATCCAAGCAAACAACTGACACAAAAACTAAAAAATGCAGAAGCAACCAAAACAGAGGGTTGCCAACTGTTACTTTTTACCCAGATAAAATTGTTCTAAACCCACCCATGAACTTTCCTAAATGAGGAACCATAATTATTTTTTCATTCACTACAGGATACGAATAGCATCCACATCGACTTTACACATGGGTATACGGTAATAGTGAAAATACAGTGCTCACTAGATCGGTAAACATGCCAAAATCTTGGCCATGTGTGTCCAATGGCGATAGTATAATACAAAGGGTGCTAAGTAGTTTTATCCTAATATTTCCTACCAGCAGGAAAACAACAAATACTTTTCAAATGTAATTATACACAAGAAAACATTACTCGTAAATTCAAGCTGATTTAAACTCTAATATTTGAATGAGAATCAAACAGAAAAAAGACAGGGAGACGGGGATGCAAAGAGAAAAAGAGACAGGGAGATAGGGCGACAATAAGAAAAAGAGACAGGGAGATAGGGCGACAAAGAGAAAAAGAGACAGAAAGATAGAAAGATATAAAGTCAAGAACCAGAAAAAAAATTATACAAAGAGATAAAGACATAAAGACAGAGACACAAAGAGACAGATAGATAGGGAGACAAAGAGAAATAAAGACAGTGGATTAAAAAGACAAAAGAGATAGAAAGAAGAGACAATAAATGAAAAATATGGTGAGAAAATAAACCCACTGTGAGATAGAAAGAAACATATATAAATTGTTAGATAGTGAAAAAGATAGATTGAAGCCGGCAGCATGTCACCAGACATGACCCAGTGTTTAATGTAGGTTTCTAGATTGCCTGAAACCACTTGCTCAAGAGCTTGTCTTCACATATGTTAGTTCAAGAGAGTAGAGAGAGTAGAAGTTAATATACAGGGTTTCCAAATAATGACCTTCACATAGCATTCAAAACATTTTGATCTCCTGCATTATATATGGTATTCTAGAACTATTTATGAACAACACGAAATATCGCCGAACAAGAAAGTAAGTTCTTGTCAACGTTTTTTAACCAATATTTGCTTTATTTATAAGGAAATGTAAAAGACGCAATTTTTCGTTTTTATAGTTTTCATAGCTAAAAATTGATTTTCTATATTTTGGTTTCTCTGGCTTGTGGAATTCATGTTGTTAAGACGATGTAGGAAAATGTGATAATTTAACACTTTTCAAGGAAAACGACAACATTCTCCTAATTGTCACTCTAATAGAGGCTTTAAGGTTACTATTGTAAATCGTAATTCCATTTCTATGATAAAGGGTCACATTAAATTACGTCTACAGTCTCTTTAAATTCCACTTTTAGTTTGTGATTACCAAACAGAGATTATTTTTTTTTAAAGATAAAAAACCAAAAATATGAATTGTTGGTAATTAAGTTCAGTAACTTTCATGACCTTATATATTATTTTTAATTAGAGGGATCATATAAAATATAAATGCAAAAAATTCTTCTGAAATGGAAAAAATAAATAATTTGAAAGAAAATTGGGGGGTTTTTTTGGCACAAATTCAGCGTTTCTAATCCCTATATCAAGCCCAAAGTCGTAGACCTTAGATATTTCAAACTATGAATTTTGTTAGATACTATAATTTAGGTTTGAAATATTAAAGGTCTACAACATTGTGTTGCAATGAGTTATAAGAAAATTTGAGTTTGTGGTAACGACTCAATTCATTTAGCAGATTTCTTTTGGATTTATAAAACTACTGGTTCACTCATACTCTAACATTTTGATCAATTTTCTATATGTTGATTGAAAGAATAGGATCTTTCATGAAGTGTTAAGGACGTATTTTAGAATTTTCGAAATAATCACAAACATAACTAAAAATTAATAAGTAATAAATCCCATGAATAGAAAGTATACAAAAATCATTGTAAAAATGTGAAAAACTTTTAATGTGTATTAAAGAAATTTTATGCACATAAATCACAATAAAAAGTAAACGAGTTTCATCTTTAAAAAAACATAAAACTCCATTAATATCCATCCACCCCGCCCGCCTTCCTGTAGTCAGATACTCCAAGAAAACCGCCGTTTTCAATATGAACGGCGGTAAGTATTGATCCTGCCGTTCCCCGGTCCTTCAACTTAACATTTTTTCAATTTAGATAAAAATATTTAGATGGAATTAAATGGTGCTTTAAATATATTTGTCATTTTAAGGGGAATTACAGCATGTCCGATTCACAATGGCACCCTTAATAAAAGCCTTGCATCTTTATGATCAAGAATTAATACTGTATTTTACTTATAAAAGGAATTGAGTTTTTGTCACAAACTCTGAATTTCTAAGCCCTATATCTTTGTAACCTTTAATATTTCAAACTTGATTATTTGGTCCAATAGAATTGATAGATTGAAATATCTAAGATATACGTTATTGGGTGGAAAAGATATAGTGATTAAAAAATCAGAGTTTATTCTCTATTTCCTTCCTATATAAAAGTGTCTACTATATCATAAGCAATTGATGGAATTATCAGAATTAAATACTCATTTTTAATCATCAGATAAAGCTGTTTAAAAATGTAGGGTTGTGAATCGGGAAACACCTACTCTAAATGTTTGTATACTTGAAATTACGTTAGTCCCTTTAATTTACAATTCACAGATTAAATATGAATGTAAAGGAGTTGAGTTTTTGCCACAAATTCTGGTTTTCTAATCTATATCTTTGTAACCCAATGTCGTAGACCTTAGATATTTCAAACTATTAATACTTATAGATAAAATAATCTAAGTTTGAAATATCAAAGGTGTGCACCATCAGGTTGCAAAGATATTGGGATCAGAAGATTTGAATTTGTGGCAAAAACTCAATTCGTTTCTCCTCTTTTTATTACTTTTGTAAAAAGTCTATTTTAGAATGATAAATATACCTGATGTCCTTTCTCAATTAATCCCGCCAATATATCCTGGAGAACAGAAATTACATCATTTAAAAATGCATTTTTAGATAAATCATCATTTTATGCAAAACTTGATTTAAAATGTTTCACTGCTGCGGAGAAATAAATTGGAGATGAAAGCACTTCATCAAATTCAAAAACTTGGTTTACAGTCAACGAGTAATAAACAAAGGAGGGAACAGTCGACATGGTTGTTTGCATAATACATTGATTCCCCTTGCCCAACCCTCCTGATTAAACTCTGTCTGGTATACTTCAGTACTGATTGAACTCTGGCTGGCATACTCCAATACCTGATTTAAACTCTGTCTGGTATACTCCAGTACCTGATTAAACTCTGTCTGGTATACTTCAGTACCTGATTGAACTCTGTCTGGTATACTCCAGTACCTGATTGAACTCTGTCTGGTATACTTCAGTACCTGATTAAACTCTGTCTGGTAAACTCTAGTACCTGATTAAACTCTGTCTGGTATACTTCAGTACTGATTGAACTCTGTCTGGCATACTCCAGTACTTGATTAAACTCTGTTTGGTATGCTTCAGTACCTGATTAAACTCTGTTTGGTATACTCCAGTACCTGATTAAACTCTGTCTGGTATACTTCAGTACCTGATTGAACTCTGTCTGGTATACTCCAGTACCTGATTTAAACTCTGTCTGGCATACTCCAGTACCTGATTAAACCCTGTCTGCTATACTCCAGTACCTGATTAAACTCTGCCTGGTTTACTCCAGTATCTGATTTAAACTTTGTCTGGCATACTCCAGTACCTGATTGAACTCTGTCTGGTATACTCCAGTACCTGATTGAACTCTGTCTGGTATACTCCAGTACCTGATTAAACTCTGTCTGGTATACTCCAGTACCTGATTGAACTCTGTCTGGTTTACTCCAGTACCTTATTAAACTCTGTCTGGTATACTTCAGTACCTGATTGAACTGTCTGGTATACTCCAGTACCTGATTAAACTCTGCCTGGTTTACTCCAGTATCTGATTTAAACTCTGTCTGGCATACTCCAGTACCTGATAGAACTCTGTCTGGTTTACTCCAGTACCTTATTAAACTCTGTCTGGTACTCCAGTTGGTTTGGTGCAAGCTGATGATGAAGTCGGGGATGATCTATAGACTCCTGATAAAAATTGAAAAATATAAAAATAGTTTCATTAAAAACATATTATTCCGTGAGCCTATAATGCTGTTTCTATCATTGAACATGGAATCTTAAGGAGGTCAAATCTCTTACAATTCTTAAATTGCAAAAATCAACATTTTGAAGAAAAGCATAAAAACATTTATTAAGATAAAAAATAAGCTGATTGAGAATACTTAATTATAATGTTGTTTTTGTTCTCTAATATTATAAAAGAGTTTTCTGAGGATTAATTAAAGAGCAATTATTTCCATAATAGAACTTCTATAATCTGCAGTTATACTGCAACAGCTTTGCAAAAATAGTTTTATAAAGTGAGCTTACAGTAATTTATAAAATAGAGGTGGACCAGTTCAACTTTATAGCTTTCCTCATAGTATGACCTAGGTCTTTGCAGAGGCGCTTCTACCAGTAACTAGGAGTACAGACAGGGTTCAAGTTAAGTGTACACACATAAGAACCTTATAGTATGAAGGAAAATTGATGAAGAAAACAAGATAATCAACAAGGACCTGCATTCATCTGTCTGGAGAACAGGGACTTTATACCTCTCTGGACCTAGGCTTGCTATGGAAAAGCTGGACTTGCACCTTGGAAACATGTCTGATAAACCATTTTTTAAGTAAAACCTACAACCCATTGGAAACATGTTTATATTCATCAACCACTGATCTTCCTAGTGTGAAGAAGCATCAAGTACAAGTATAATTTACCAGTACTGCCCAAGATGTTCTTACATATCAGTTTCAAGACTCCAACTGTTGATAATCTACTCCTAGCCAAAACTCCTTTTATCACATTTGTCATTATTTATAAGTGGATATTCTGACATTGGGGGGAGGGTACCAGGGCCCCTAGAATCCCAAAGTGGGAAAAATTGGAATACTGTAATACTATTAAAACAATATTGTATCATTATGTAATTATCTTATAAAACCTTTTTTTAAAAAAATTGTTAAAATAAAATAGGAGGGAACACAAGTATCTAAAAGGGGGCTCTCATATATCTCAGTTGTCTAAAAAGGAGGGGACACAGTTATTTTTAAAGGGAGTTTACACTTTACAGTAATCAATATTAATGAGGGCTAACAGTTATCTAAAAATTAGGGGACACAATTGGATCTAAAAGGGGGCTCTCAGTTGTCTAAAAAGGAGGGGACACAGATATCTAATAATGAGGGGACACAGTTATCTTATAATGAGGGTTCTCTAAAATCTATCAGTTATCTAAAAATTAGGGGACACGTAATCTAAAATGGATGGGACACAGTTATCTAAATTAGGAGGTTTTACAGTTATCTAAAATGGAGAGGAAAAACAAGGGGGGACGCAATTATCTGAAATTAGGATTCACAATTTTTTAAAAAGGAGGAGACATAGTTATCTAAAAATGAAGGGACACATGATTATCTAAAAAGAAGGGGACAAGATTATCTAAAAAAAGGGGACACAATTATCTAAAAAGGAGGGGACACGTGATTATCTAAAAAGAAGGGGGCAAGATTATCTAAAAAAAGGGGACACAATTATCTAAAAAGGAGGGGACACATGATTATCTAAAAAGAAGGGGACACATGATTATCTAAAAAGGAGGGGACACATGATTATCTAAAAAGAAGGGGACAAGATTATCTAAAAAGAAGGGGACACAATTAACTAAACATTAGGGTTTACAATTTTCTAAAAAGGAGGGGACACAATTATCTAAAAATGAGAGAACATCGTTATCTAAAAAGAAGGGGACACAATTATCTAAAAAGGAGGGGACACAATTATCTAAAAAGGAGGGGATCCACACTTTCTAAAAATGAGGGCACAACGTTATTTAAAAAGGAGGGGTCACAATTTCTAAAATGAGGGTTTGCAGTTATCTAAAAAGGAGGGGACACATGGTTATCTAAAAATGAGGGTATACAGTTGACCATGTGTAGAAAAATCTTGAAAGTCAGAAGGTTCAACCCAAGTCCCATGAATCGACTGGAAAGCGAAAGCTTGTTCATTTTTAAGGCGATTTTAAGTTACTTAGTTTTCAGGGCGCTTTGCGGCCATCTTCTTTTTCAGTTGTGGACATTTTCTATTTCTATACATTGTAAAACAAAAACAATAAAGAAAATTTCGTGAATAAAAATCGAATTTTGTTGGAGGCTGATTCTTAAAATGTTGATCATATATAAACCTTCCCCAGGGTCATTTAAGGTCCCACACAAAATTTGGGCACGGTCGGTTTGGCCGTGTATATATAAAGAATACATATAAACATGATTTACCTAAATAGAATTTGTTCAATTGTTAAAAAATATTTACGGTTTAAGATGTTTTCTAGACATTAGACTGGTAAACGAACAATAAATAACAATTTGTCGTCTAATTTTGTTAAACTGTCCGTGCAGAAATAAAGCAATTTAAAAGTTTATTTATTGATTATTTTAAGCCACTGACGGTTTTACGAGAGAAAGAGAGGGGAAAGATTTGTTTCATAGCGTTTTTTTGTATTTTTTAATCTTTTTCATTTTCATTCGTTGTAAAAAACTAAAAAAAGTTGTTAAAAAAGCTACGATGGACTTTTACAATAACAATAAAAAATCTGATTTTCTTATCTGATATTCTTATCATTTTCTAAGATCATCTGAATTGCCTAAAAAATTATTGGCCCGATCGTTCAGCGATATTGACGTTTGTTGCCAATACAATTAAACAAACAAGCAAACAAATTATATATATATATATATAGGGTTGCAAAGATATTGTAAAAGAGGGGTGCTAAGCGCTCTGAAATCTAATTATTGATATATTACACTGAAATATATTCCCCTGTCTCCTGGGTATAAAAATACCAGGAAATACTTGAGTTTACTCTAGTCTCAGGAGAATAAAGTTCAGCTCAGTGCAATCAAAATACAATGTGCTTTTACAAACCTAATATTTTTGCACCTTAATATATTCTTACTAAAATTCCAGATATAGACAACTTTGAAAGTTCTTCATCTCGACTAGAAAGTGTCGCAACGCCTTGGCCTTTAGTTGCATTATATCAACTTTCATTTGCTTTTTTTTTAGCCCTAGATATGTACATTTTATAAATAACGCGCTTGTTTCTTGCTTGTTAAATTTTTCTGAAACAATTTTACAGAAGCAAAAATGTATTCCATTAGAAATACTATAAGACATGGTTTTTAAATAAATTTTTCACAAAGTTCAAAATTTGGGGTCACTTGTATAATTGAAAAGCAAATTGGTTATTATTGGAACCGAGTTAAATTTCTGAATTCAAATCAATTTACATAATCGAAAAATATTGAAATTTGACCGAGTTAAGTATAAGAAATCACGTTTTTTATAATGAAATATATTTGAAGAAAAAAAATGGTTTTTTACCATAACTTGCCCAACTTTATATATTTTTAAATTCTTTAAATTGTTTTAAACTCCGGGTTTCAGCCATTTCAGTGGATGCCCATCCTATCAGGATTTTCAAATTTTTCCTTTTCCCTAATTCTAATGATTTTTTAACTATAAAAACATAAAAAAAATTATAAACATGCCCTAGAATTTCAAGTGGAATACTATTTTGCTTCTGTAAAATTATTTAGCAAAATTTCACAAAATTTCTGACTCCTATTAAGTATATTTATCAGCTATGTGATATATGTACATAATCTGGAACTTACCATAACACTTCTTTTAATCGAAATAAAGATGATAAAATAAAAATACTGCCTATTAGCCAGAATGAGATGGCCGAATTTACACGACACTATAGTTTCAGTAGAAGTAAATATTTCCATTTACTGATAGCTCTGATTCAAGGATTAATAACTCTGATTGGATAATGAGATAGATAGAAAGATAGATGTTACTGCCATACTATTTCTTTTGGTTCAGAATAGACAACAAACACATGAGTCAACTCTGATTTGGATCAGGCTCTAATGGACCCTGCATGCATACATTAGTGGTAACATTACAACTACGACTTTGTTACCGCATGGATCCTATACTTTTAATTTCAAGAATAAGAAAATTTATCCGGTCTAACATATATTCAAATTCGAAATCTTTTTGTTCTCTTCCGTAGCCTTTGTTAAGAAGGGTGATGATTAAAAACATAGAAGATTTCAGTCCTTGTCTTGCCTGTATACTTTTCTTGAGCCAAATATGTGATGCTAGAGTTTGAGCTACACCAGTAGTTATTCTTGTACCACCAGCACCACCAATCAGAAGACGAACCTAAAACAGGAAAAAAATATAAAAATGTTAAAGTTCTTGGACGGTATGCGTAATTTCAAGTGACCCGATCCATGGAACGATGGCAATATGGTACCCTTAAACGATTTTTCTGATCAAGTAAAATTTGGAAAACTGAAAACTTAAAACAGAAGTGACTTCTCATTTCTACTGCATGCAGGAAAGCATAAGAATTAAAGGAACACTTTTAGATCTAGAAAAGCGACAATATCTTCCACATTATTAATCAGATAAATGTTTAGATTAAGGGAACCGTTGTGAATCGGGGATGCCATCATTGCACGGAGGGCACCTAAAACTATTATGACAGTCCCTTTAAGAATTCAAATCCATGGAATGTTTTACTTCAAATCCTTGAATTTTATTTCAAATCTTAAAATTTGTAATTCGAGAAATCCGTAAGGTTTTATTTCTTATCTAAAAAGCATTTCTTCAACCCAAAACTACAACAGATTCAGAATAATCTAGATTTATATATAGATTATGTTTGGGGGCGCCGCAAGCATGACCAAGGATTGGTATCGTCACGGAAATTACAAGTTTTGCCTCAGAATTTAGAACTTCAACTCAACATTACTACCACTGAGATACTTCTCCGTAAAAAAAATTATTAGGCGACCGCGAGCCTTATTTGACTTAAAGAAAAAGTATTTCAAACACACAAAAAAAAATATTTGTTAACTTTAAATGTAACTTAGAATTTATTCTGTTTCATGATTTTATGAAAATTCGCGCAAATTTTCCATTTTCCAGTGAATGCAGAAATCAGACAAGACAAATTTTCTACATTATAATAATGGTTCTCACTTCAATACACAACTCCTGAGGCTCGGGTAAAGAGAAAATATTAAAATAAATAAAAACATAAACGTGTAAATCCTCCGATAAGGTCTCTTCTATATATAAATTTGGCTTGTCTGTCTGTTAGGGTGTTTGTATCCAATAAACGTCATAACGGCTGAACCGATCGGGCCCAATTTTTTTGTGGGACATCACGTGACCACAGGGAAGGTTTATGAATGATAAAAATTTTTAAAAAATGTGTTTTTAAGGTTTTTAATTTTGTAAAAAATTTAAATTCTTGAAAATCCGCGATTTTTTTTAAAATCCGCAAATTTTTTTTCTTCTTTGTTTTAAAATGTAAACAAAAAGAACATGTTCACAATTTAAGTAGAAGATGGGCGCGAAGCGCCCTAAAAGCCTTGTAGTTGTATAAAAGAAAAAAGTATAGATTCAGGAAAATCAAGGCCGCTAAGGCTGGAGACTATAGGGCATCATTTGAAGTGACGTTTCATGAAAAAATGGCAATACTCGTTTCTTTGACAATTTTCTGACAATGACTGCATATGTTGTACTGCAGTAGAAATGTGCAAGTCACTTTTGTAGAGAACCCACAATTTTAAATAATCAGGTTTGAAAAATAACAAACATTAATATCTAATTCAAACTTGATCATACAAAGCTTTAAAGGGTAAGCTTGTAGATCAGGCTTTGTCGTCTTTGCATGGAGGGTTGAAATTTTGTTTACAGTCCGTTTAAAAGGCTAACTGAACACGGCATCCAAAACAGACATTTCTAATTTCAAGTGATTAAGTACTTAGTTCCTAAAAATACATATCTAACACTTGATTTTGCAATATTTTAGTAGTCGAGAGCAGAAGTATTGCGGCTTCTGATTTAAAAATCGTAAGTTTAAGTTATGAGTTCAACTGAACACCTGAAATCCCATGTTGAACTAATTTTCTCTGAATTTCCCAGAATTTTCCAGAATTTTTTTTCAAAGGATAGTTTTTACCTTCCCCTGATTGTCTAGTATGATTGCAGGACACATAGAAGACTGGGGTCGTTTGCCAGGCTTCACATAGTTACTAGTTATATTTGAATAATGTATTTTTATTGTATTTGAAGTTTTATGGTTTTTAGCAGAGAAGTGAAGGAAAAACGAATTTGGGTAAAATTTAAAATTTAAAATAAATTTTCTTTTTTCAACCTTTTCTCTTTGAAGATTTTCTTGACATGAATAAAAGAAATTTTAAAAAAGCATTTTTGCAATTTTCAAGTTTTATGAAAATTATTTAAGTTTTTGTTTAAAAAGAGAGCCTCTATGAATAAAGAAACAATTAGGTTGTTACTTTAAAACACAATCGATCTCGATATCCTACATGGAAACTAATCAGATCGGGCCTAATTTTTTGGGAGACTTTGCATTTAAACATCATGAATATAAATAAGATATACATCCCTAGGTGAGGGGGGTAGGTTGAAATCATTAGAGAAGAAAGGAAAAGAGAAATCATTCATCTCGTTGTTGTAAATTATTCCAGTAGAGGGAGACATCAGTTCACAACCAAAATTCTTTAAAAGAAATTATTTCTCTAAATTTTGTTCGCATCATATCTTTTCAATCTGTTGGTACAAAACCTTTAATAGTTTAAACTTTGGCACGCACAGTAGGAAATATCTTAGGTCTACAATTTTTGTGCTTTGGTTGCAAAGACTTGAAAATTAGAGTGTTCTCAGTTAAGTTGAGTTTCTTTATAAATTTAAAATTTATAAATTTTATAAATTGCTTTATAAATTCTAAATTTATAAATTTTATAAATTGCTTTATAAATTCTAAATTTATAAATTCTATAAATTGATAAAAGAATTGAGACTTTGCCACAAACTCTGATTTTCTAATCTCTATATCTTTCCAACCCAATGTAGTAGACCATAGATATTTCAAACTATTAATTCTGTTAAATAATCTAAGTTTGAAATAGCAAAGGTGTATCACCATCAGTTTGCAAATATATAGGCATTAGAAAATTGGAGTTTGTAATAAAGGCTCAATTTTTTTTATCTTCTAAACGAACTTTGTTTATCCTACAACACAGTTTAAACATTGCAATCTTTGAAATAGACTGTTATTGCCGAAAAAGAGTTAATTTAAAAAATTACCAAATTAACTGAACATTCGCCACAAATTAGGATTTTCTATATACCATACATATATATTACCGTATTTACAGTACTCGTAACAGACACTGCATCACCGTTTTCGGCCAGAACGGTTAGATGGGCTGTTCCTGATTCAAGAAAAAAAAACATTTTATATAGATATGAATTCGATAAAAGAATAACAGAAATTTATAAATATTTGTAAGACTACACACATAAATACTGTATAGTAAATGATAAATTAAATTTTTTAAAAATATGAAAAAAAAATAATTAAATAATTTTTTTTTTAATTAAGATTGTTCGATCTGATTAGTGATTAATGATCTCAAACTCTATTTCTTTTCGAATATCTTTAGACGTCGTAGATTTTTGATTGTTTTAAACATAAATTGTATCTACCAGATTAAAGTTTGAAATAAGTTTCAAAAATAATAAAATTAGATTTTTTTAATATAAATTGTATCTACTAGATTAAAGTTTGAAAAAAATTGCAAATATAAGAAAATTAGATTTTTGTGTGAGTAACCATTTTCTCGATCCATTAAATATTTTTACATAAAAACATTTTATTTCAGATTCATCTTTAGTCGTTAAACATATTTTTGAAAAATATTATTGTTATCATTTCAATAAATTTCTTATTCATATTTTTCTCAAATATTCATTTTTTTCAACACTTTCACGCATAGTTTTATAAGACACATTTTTTAAGCGGAGAGAGGTTACTAAACTATGCTTGCATCGGCTCAAACCTTGAATCGCCGATTCAAATATCAACTTAAAAGATATGCGGCTAAACGTAGCTCAACGACATCTCGCGATTCATTGCATCATGTATCAGGATGAAAATTCGTATTAAATAATTTAAAAAAAATAGTTTTACCTTTATCTGGAACCATAGAGAACTCAGCCCCATAGTATTCTAAATCATTATAGGTTTGCCTATCATTGATCTTGCGATAAACAGATCTGTAAAGAGAAATATTCTTTCAAAAATAATCAGAGGCCGAATTTAAAGAATTTGAGCGGCGGCTTAAATTTAAGCCGCGGCTCAAATATGGTAGGTTTCACTTAAAATTGTATTCAATGTTTCCAGATTTAAGCCGGCGCTCAATTGAAACCGGTTTTTGGCGGATTTAAGACGCGGCTCAAATTCAAAATTCGGACTCTGATTAATTAACTATTGATTTTTATTTATCTTCATTTTATATCTTATCAAGATATCTTTTTGTTTTGTTCTTTGTCAAAAACTTTTTTAAAAAAGAGATGAGAATTAAATATTTCAACAAATACAAAAGATTTATTTTAAATTCTCAAAAAAAAATCTAAAAATAAAAATGTTTTAAGAATATTCCCTTGCCCACGCTTCACTTGTTATATTATTCACTAAAATCCAACAAACTTTTAAGTAAAAAATTTATAAATAATAAAAACTTAATTTATAAGAGTTTTCAGTTTCAATCAATGTCAAACAAACTTAAACTTCTAGCTTTAGTTGTCCATAATAATCAAATCATAAACCTATAAATTGCATAGAAGTTAAATATATGATTATAAAGATTAAAATTTCCATTTTAAATGTCCGGTTTAGCAATTGCAACCCCTTATATTTGTTATTTGATCTAAGATACAAAAATGTCACATCTTGCTAAAGAGAAAATGTTTGGAAACCAAGACGAATGCATTTGCATCATAGTTTCCCCTGGGATATTTGCTCCAGTAAAATCGGAAATATTTTCGTACAGAAACTGAGTGTTTGTCACAAACACAATTTTCTAATCCCTATATCTTTGCAACCTGAAAGAGTAAACCATTGATATTTCAAACTTACACTTTTTGATCTAACAGAATATTCTCATTTTGAAATATCGACGATCTGCGACATTGATTTGCAAAATTATCGGGAATAGAAAATCACCGTTCGAAATTCTAGATAGAATTTTCATGTTAAGATAGTTCCGAGAATGATTTTTTTTATCTGGAATAGATTAAACGTTTTTTTTTATCTGGAATAGATTAAACGTTTTTTTTATCTGGAATAGATTAAACGTCTTTTTTATCTGGAATAGATTAAACGTTTTTTTATCTGGAATAGATTAAACGTTTTTTTTTATCTAATGTTTTCGTTCAGAAAATTGCATATTTACGTTTACCGATACAAATTCATTAAATAATTAGGTTCAACTCCCCCTCCCATCCTCTTTAATCACTATCTATCCCTTTTCTTGAGTTTAATGGTTTGATGCAATTCTTATAAATTTGTTGCAGAGTGCAGAGTGCAGCGTGCAGCGTGCAGCTGTATTCATTTTATATTTAGATTTTGCAATTGTTATTAAATTGAAATGTTGAAAATATGAAAAGTTTGTTTGGATTTCCCTAAAGAGTTGACAAGGTCTGTAATCTCATTATCCTGATTCAACATTTTTATCAAAATATTTTAAAAATTTAGTTCTTTATAAACCTGTCAAACGAGATAAATGCTTTTTTTCGATAATTGTTCTGTCAGCTGTTTTAGATTCGGCATTTTCAAAAACAAAGTAATTTTTAACATTTATCTTTTATAATCTTTAAGATAAACTTGTGGTAATAAGCATTAATAATTAAAAGTTTATACTTTTATTTTGATCCAAAAAAGTTTTCAAAAACAATTTTAAAATCTTGTCTCGATATTGAACAAACTCAATCTTGAATTTTGTATTTTTTTGTAAAAAAAATTGTTAATTTTGTCTTCTTTCGCTTATAATAAAAGGCAAGGTTTGAAATTTTGATATTCATTTATTGACGGCTCAGATGAGAAAATTTGGAAAAGTTAAGGAATTGATTTTATTCGCGCATAATTGTTTTCTAAATCCTTTATCTTTGCAACCCAATGTTGTAGACCTTAGATATTTTGAACTATGAATTCTGTTAGATCTAGTAATCTAAGGTTTAAATATCAAACGCTAACATCATCAGGTTGCAAAGATTAGAGTTTCTGGCAAAGAGAATGAAGAATATGTGTTATGAAAAAACTGATAAATCCCTGGGGATCTCCAAGTGAACTTCTGACACCGTAGGCAAACTTGAAAGCTTCTGTCAGTCGATGATAGAACAAAACATCGTCCTAAAAAAAAATTATAATGTGAAAAAGTCAAATTTCTCATGTCAAACTTTTTAAATGCATTTTTGGGATTTATTTAAATCCGAGCATTATAGGCAACCACTTGCCAAACATAGTTGCAGGACAAGGTCTTTTGATTTTTTGATCTTTTGATCTTTTCAAACTGAAATTAAAGCAAATTTTGTGGCACACCCTGCATTCATACTTGTTACTTCTTACACAAGTTATAATTTGACTCCTTTTATCAAACTAAGGTTCAAGGTTTAGAAGTATTTGATAGATCCCATCCTACAATCCTAGTGCTTTATAAGGAGGATCATATCCAATATGCCAAGATGGGTGTTGCCGTAGCAATTAATCGTTAGTTTTTGCGAAGCACTGGGAGATTAATTTAGTTAACTGAGCTGGAGGGGGGGGGAGGGGGGGGGTTATTTCAAGAAACATTACATGGTTTGAATTTTGTTAATTCACAGCATGAATTTAGGGTTTCATGAATGTTCGACCAAGAACCATCTAATCACTTGGAGTTACACATACACTCCTGTATGCCGAGTCCATTAGCGCCTGATCCAATCAGGGTTCAGTCATGTGTTTGTTGTCTATTCTGAACCAATAGAAATAATATGGCAGTAACATCGATCTTTCTATCTATCTCATTATCGACCAATTAGAGATATGAATCCTTCTATCGGCGCTATCGGTAAATGGAAATATTTACTTCTACTGAAACTATAGTGCATATGCAATAGTCGAGAGTTGTACTGTACTGTATTTAGTACGTACAGCTTGCTCTAGCTGGTTATATGTCCGCCAGAATCATGAAATGAACCAGAGTTTTTCATGACGACCTAAAGCCGAATTTGAATAATTTGAGCCGCAGCTTAAATTTAATCCTTGGCTCAAATATGGTTGGTTCCACTTAAAATTGTATTTAGTTTTTCAAGATTTAAGCCGGCGCTAAATTGAAACCGGTTTTTGGGTGATTTGAGACGCGGCTTAAATTCATTAAATTTGGACACTTAACTCTTAACAATCCGAATTTTGAATGTAGTTCTCTCACTTTCTAATGTTTTGCGAATGAAAAAAAATCAAGTTTTGAGCTGCAAAGAGAGCCATGAATGTAAAAAAAAGAACTTCCTTGGAAGGAAACCCTGTCGCTGGTCGTAAGATTGTAGGAAATACTTTGCACTTTTTGTGTCCTTATAATTGTATAATTGTTGAAATTAGGATAGATCTAGTTGATCTCGATATTTATCTGTTTGTATAGGGCTCTGAACCCGTATTTGGCGATGTTGAATAAAGTGCAGCGTGGGCGGAGTTAAGCAAAGGTATAATTTAATTTTCATGGTATCAATCAAATAGAGATAAACTGGGAAAGGGGCTGTCCACCATATTGCTTAAGTGATCCTCTATTTAAAGTAAATATTTCTTTTTAAATTCAGTGAATTGTGAAATTTTTAATTTTCTAAATTATTTAAACCACACCATTACACTCTAAACTAAGCTAGTGGGATGGTCAAATAGGCCAATTAAAGTCCGGGTACTGTAAAAAGTCTGGCCGATGTATTAAATTTGAAACCTGGCCAACATACGATTAGGTCGGTTCAGTACAAGCCGCACTTCACTAAGGCCAGTACAAGGAGTCGGTCCCGTTCGTATTAAAATTGGCCCCAGTCCACTGTGATATTATGTGTATTTTTGTGTATCTTTAATTCGTTATAATTTAAAGAACAAAATTTCAATAGGACAACACAGCTTTAAACTATCTGAACCACCCTGCTGCAATCATTTTAATTATATTTTTATTTTATCTTTATATATTGTTTATTTTGTTATAATGTTTACTAAAGAAAAATATATGATTTGATTTGTTTTGAAAGTGTTACAGGTTCAATTCACAACGGTGCCCTTGAGCACTGTTACCTTGTTAGGCTTTGTTGCATAAAACGTGTTGGGTCGATCAAAACTTGGAAGTCCAGACTGGACATGACGAGTGAATGCATTTTAAAAAAGATTTAGATTTCTCAGTTCCATTCCTTTTTTTTGCTACATAATCCATAACCAAAAATATCAAATTTTCAGATGGAAAAAATGGATAAATCAATCAGTTTTGCTCCAAAAAAAGGCTTCAATGGCTTCGTTTCGGAAAAGGATGCAACTTTTACAACTGGAGGGTCACATGAAATTACGTTTACAGTCCCTTAAACAAATTGCATTCCCTTACCCCCCCCCCCACCTCCCCACATTTCACAACCATCAAACTTAAGTATAACAAAGATATATCTGAAAATAATTGTTGAAAAATTGCATAAAGGAATAATCTAAACGTTTTATAAAAAAGCATCATCTTCTCTTCTTAAATATTAAAAAAATTCTTTAACATTTAAAGTAATCATAAATATACAATGCAATTCCTTGTAAGAAGATAATTGTAACAAGAAATAAATAAAATGTTGTCAAAGTTCGGAGATATTTAATAACGAGAGTTTTATGAAAACAATAATTTCAACTGTGTCCAAAGAGCATCAAATAAGAAAAAGTAACTTTTTTATTTTCTTGCATAAATAATTATTTTGCATCAGTTTCATTTTTAATTCCATGAGTATAATTGATGTATATATTTCTGGAAGAGAAAACTAAAAAAAATTATCAAAATTTGAAGATTTTTTTACATATTTTATGCGTTTGAGGCTTTTTATAGTTTTGTTATAAAAATGCTCAATAGAGCGTAGATTAAAAATTGAATTTTAAATCAATCAAGGTTTTCTCTTTTATTACTGCTTGGAAACCATAAAGTTTTAAATATTTAGAGTAAATGACATTTCATACGCAACGTCACTCAGCAAAATAGCGCAAATTTTTATCGATGACTGGGTATATTTCAGCAATTTTAGTAACAGAAAACTGCGTATTTGGTTACGAAGACATATTTAACTTTAAAAAAAGTTTACAAAAGAAAATCGCAGAAATAGAATATTTTTTTATTGACATTACTCTAAAATATGTACATATACTCCATATGGATAGATAAAAGCATTGACAAACTATCGTTTTTTCTTTTGTTTTGGGTTTTTCAAAATAAACGAAACTTCATCTTTGAGAAAAGATCGACAACGTTACCGATCCACTTCCCATTTTTTAACGATGCTTTATAATTATAAAATCTATCGAAACGACGAATTTCAAAAAGCTACCAATTATCACCGAAAACCTTGCTAAAGAAACGATGTATGTCGGGTTTTTAAATGAGACAGAGTATTTAAGTTCTCCCTAGACCCTTGTACCTGGTGATCTGGGAATTGATCCATAATGTTAAGGATTGCTCCCAGTACTGCTCCACTGCCAGGGGGTGGGGCACTGTGTACTGTCAAGTTTACAGATTTCAGTACAGTTTGTACAGTAGGAGACCAAACAGACGAATACGCTGCCATATCAGCCATAGTCAGCTTACCACCTGTACAGTGTATAATTCAATAAAAATCACTGTAAACCAAGATGTGCACGCTCCTAAACAAGATCGACCAGCATTTTTTTAATTACTCTTTTTTTAATTTTAAATAGAATGCTACATTTTTAAAATGTACATGTCTAGGGCTACACTAAAGTATAAGTGAGTTGGTGAGGAAAAACTAAAGGCAAAGGCGCTGCGACACTTTAAAGTCGAGGCTGCCTAAAATGTTGATGACTAAGTTTCAGAGATGTCTAGAACTCAGCGAGTTAGCTTACATTGAGTCCTATAAAACTTTGCAATAAGAAGACAACTGTTTATATTATGATTTAAAATAGTCTAATGAACATGAAACAATGTAATTGTACAGTTTACACAGGCCCATTGTAATAAGATGATTTTTAAAGTGCTTGTTTAATTGATTGCTTTATAACAACATGAAATAAATATAAAATTGCTTAAATGTCGTCTTTCTATTACATAGTTTTACGGGACGCGCTGTACAAAAAAATGTGTACTGTATCTATTGGGAGGATTAATAACAATTAATTAATACTTCTCATCGAGTTTGCATTACACTCTTTAGTAAATGAAGATATGAGTGTTACTGGTGTATCTTTCATGCAGCTTTCCTTGATTAATTGATAAATAAAAGAATTAGACGCAAGTCGATCTTGATTAAATTTATGGCCTGTTAATTTTACATTAGTATACATTTTTTGTGAATATTTCAGCGAATAATTCCAAACAGTTGTTTCGCTCTAATGCATACTGAACAGTGATTCAGAAGTTGCCCATAACTTCTCAAAAACTAAAGTTAAAAACAGGAGTGTTGGGCTTGAAATGTACACAATTGGGGCTTAAACAATTTATGATGAAAATAGTGAGTTAAAAACAAAGGCCTGGCGTTGTAACACTTTGAAGTCGACCCAATCGAAAAAAAATGTTTAGCAGTCTAGTATCTATGTATGTAAATTAGTGCTATGTATGTTTTCAATTAAAAATTAGTATTTGAAATTAAATACTTGTTAAGCAATACTCTTTAAGGTTAAAGTCAAAGTTTTAGTTTAGTTAAGATAAAATAGAATGTATTAGTATTCAATTATTTATCGTTAACAGATAAATAAGAAAATCATGGTCACGAAATTTCCTAATTTGTTCTTGGTGTAGTTTTTTAAATTTTCATAGATAATCCAATTTTAGTTAATCTAAGGTAAATATTAAGTTTTTCTTAATAATACTAAATGGAAAATTGAGTTGACAATTCTTGCTTTTTTTATCAAATAAGGAATAATGGAAAAATGTGGTTCATGTTACTGAATATAAAAATTATCATTGACAAATTATCAGAACCTATTCTGCTAAATTTAAACATTTACACTACAACATATTTCTTGAGCGAAAAGCATTTCCGCTTTAATATGTGAGAAGTTTGAAAGATATAGGGGAACAAGTTAAGTTTTAATTGAGTTTTTTTTAAACTCTCTATAAACAAACATTTGAAATAAAAAAGCTATCCAAGGCCGCATTAAAAGAATTTGAGACGCGACTCAAACATTATTGGTTACACGTAAAATTGTATTCAATGTTTCTATATTTAAGCAAGCGCTCAATTGGAACCGGTTTTTGGCGGATCAGCGACGCGGTTTAAATTCTTTAAATTCGGCCTCAGATGTTTTGAATGGTTCGAGTTTCCCTTTCAAACTACAAAAATGGAGGATTTTATCTTTAAGTTTCCTACTTCCGCTTATATATTAAACTTTGTACTTTTGTAAATGTCTAATCTTGAAACTTTTAAACGAGGAAAACGCGTTATATTTTTTTTGCTAAAGTTCTCAGCTCTACAAACCCAATTTTTGTAGATCTTGAACTAGGAGTCGTCCAACTTCCCCTTGATAGAATTCATCTCTAATCCCTGAACCAGCAGCAGCTAATCTATCTGAAATAACAGGTTTTTATTTGTTTATTGTTTTCATGTTTTATGAAAATGACAGAAAATTAATTCTGTTTTTATCTGTTTGATACTAAGATCATCATAATATTAATTCCTAAACCCCCCCCCCCCTTATTATAGATATTCTTATTCTTATAGCTAAACTTCTCATCTCAATTAACAGGTCTAAAAATAAGAATATCAGTTACTTAATTATTGATCAGGCAAAGGTTTAAAATATACCGTTTTAAATGGAACATGCCACTCTTTCTCAGTTCAAAAATGAATGAGAAATCCATGTTTGTCTCTTTGAAAATTCAATTGTGGTTTCTCCATGGAAGTGATTTGCAGATTTTTGCTACAGAAACAATGGATCAAATTGTACTTTTCAAGTTAGAAAAATAGATTAGAAATCTTTTTTTTAAGACTGGCATAAAGCAATATGAATTTCGAAATTTTAATATTTAAAATTCATAAAACACACCTAATGTATTAGCAAGTGCTTCTCTCTTGTACATATCCCCTTCCTTGTACGGTACTCCTGTGGATGGATTTGTAAATGTACTGCGTAATGTCGGGTCTGTAAAATCAAAATCACTAGCAAACAAATTAATGATCAATTAAAAATTAAAACTTTCCAATCAAAACAGATAATTGCTTCTTTCCATTATTATTTCCGTTTACAAAGTAGTTCAAGTTCAGAGAAATCATTGTTAAGGGTTTTAAGCAGAAAATTAAAAGTTCCGAGTCGTCATTAATTTCTCATCCTTTGTGGGTAACCCTGTATATTAAAAGTTGATAGTAATAATAATAGTACATCTAACTGTGCTGTTCCATCTCCATAATATTCTTATATCTAAATCGATTAGCTTTGCTAATTTCATCAATTTAAATTAGATAATACATTTACTAAAGACTTCTTAGATAATTTTTAGATAAAGTTGTTTTTCGCAAAATGTATAAAGCATGCTTTATCTTTTTCATTATTTTGTTCCTGATAGTATTTGCCATACTCCATGATACTGGAATTCCGTTTCTGCACATATCTTTAATCCGTACATTCATGTTTACACACTAGGTTTTCGCATTAAAACATATTTTACTGAATTCTAACAATCTGCAACCAGCGGCTTTTGTAAATATTGACTTTGAGAAAGCAGCAGGCTTATGAAGGCTTTAATGCTATCACACTCGTATGCCAAGTCCATTAGCGCCTGATCCAATCAGGGTTCAGTCATGTGTTTCTTGTCTATTCTGAACCAATAGAAATAGTATAGCGGTAATATCTCATTATCCAATTAGAGTTATGAATCCTTTAATCGGCGCTAACAGTAAATGGAAATATTTACTCCTTCTGAAACTATAGTGATGCGTGTTAGAATTTGTTCTTAAGTTCAGCTAAATTGAAATTTTATGTGAGTTAGAAACTTAAGGCCTATTGAATTCCGAACATAAAAATTTTAAATTTTTTATACTTTTTATTCTAAAGAAAAAGGAATGAAGATCAAAAAATATAAAGGGTTTACGCCATCAGGTTTCAAAGATATGGGGATAAGAAAATCAATTTCTTATTTTTAAATATTACAAAAAGTCTTTTTCCGCGGAAATCGAACTGTAATCGTAAGAAATTAATAAATGTACGGTTTCCTATAGTTGGTTGCAATATTCTTCTCCAGCTAATCGATTTATTTCCATATCTTTCTCGAGCCTGATAAACATATATTTGTTGTGTTTTTTTTGCTAGCTTTGTCGAAACAGGTTAAACAAAACAGAATTAATAGTTTTGTAAAAATATTGTTTCTATATAGCCTGATATATGTTTATGTTTGTTAGCTAAAGTTGTTGAAACTGGTTAGACAAAACAGGATTAAAAATGCAACCACCTCCCACCGTCATGTTCATGCAGAGGAAATGATATTGATAAAAAATATCAACATTAAAGAATAAAAAGACCTCGAAGACGACTGTTAGACTCAGGTTTTAATTTTGAATAATCCAGTAAATATTAGACGCAGCAATTAGATCCATCTTAATTTATAGGTTGACATTCAAGTTGCTCTTTATCCACATCAAGCACAAGACTGCTAAAATGTCGTCTTCCTTTTTCACAGTAGTTTGTTTTTCACTGTACATAAGGAGGTCACATGTTTTCGTAGTTGTAGACCGGTTTCACAGCTTAGTAATTCTATTTAATTTTTAAAGACTCTAAATTACGTTTAAGTTAACTTAAAAATAGATTTGTTGATCAATAGAGTTTCCAACGTGCATTGTTAGAAGCGTACTGCGTAAATAGAAAGACAATGGGGACTGTTCACTGTACGCATAATTTCAAGGAATCCTCCATGCAAGATGGCAATGCCCGATTTACAATGGTACTTTCGATACATTTATCTGTAATGTGAATGATTTCGTCGATTTCTACGCGTAACTCCTTTGGGCTTCTGCATCATGGTTATTATGAACGAAACACACATAAATCTTTAAAAGACGAAATCCAGTGTCCCATCCGTTGTTTAGATTAATCTATGGCTGTAATACTACCTGATAATATCCATCTATTTCCCCAGGAACTGCCACTGCAAGCGGACCCTGAAACAAAATAATTTGTCCTGAGTTGAGAACTTTAAAACCATAAATCCTAAATATAAACATTTGTTTAAAATCCATCAACAAAACTTTTTAAAGTTTCAACCTCCCAAGATCTTTTTAATAATTTTCTCTCCTGATATTGTCAAAATTCGTGTTTTCTCATTTTTATAATCAATAATGATAACATCATGCAAACTGCAAAAATTGCAAACAAATTACCAAAAGACGGATTATTTAAAACTTTGTGTGTAGGGATGGGCAACAGCCAGATTCGTTTTACAGAAACTTTTAACGTTTTTCTTTTAACGTTTTTAGATCGACTTTTAAAGGTTTTACGACAAGATAAGATAAGATAAGATAAAGTTTATTGCTAAAATACATGTATCTGTGTGAAGAACGAGTTTACAATTACAAATTGATGATTATTAACAGTACAAGTATAAAGCAATTATAAGCTGTTTGATTATTTTTTCCACCTAATTTTAATGATGATAACAAAACATTTCAATTAAATAGATTTAAGGATAACTATCAGAGATCAGGGTGCAAATTTATCTTATGCAAAATAGTTTATACACTTATTAGAATAACTAGAGTTTAAAGTTATTTTCTGACATGTACACAACAAATATCTAAGCATATTAAAACATATCTAATTAGTTTTACATGAATAGCAATTCGGTTTGTAACACATTGTAATGTAATTTTCAAAAAGAGAAGTAGTCTATTTTTAAATATACTTAGAGAGTTGCTTCTTTTCAAGTCAAGAGGCAGGTTATTCCAAATCATAAGAAGAGAGCTTGATGGTAAATACTGTAATGAGCACATTTTGAAAATTTCAAGTTGATAGTAAAGAGATCCTCCAAAGTTTCCAAGCTTTTAAAAAATGTTTTCAAAAGATGCAGGAAGAAGTTTATGTGTATATTTATAAATAAATATAGCTTGGTTAAATTCTACCAGATCATTAATCTTTAGAATCTTATACTTAAGGAAAAGAGGATCTCTATATGAGAAGGTTCCAACATTTTAAAACTTTATTCTGTAGAAGTTTGCTTATATCAAACATGCAAATTTGTTACCCTAGAACAAAATATAAGGCAAAAACTATAATCGTTTTAAAACAATCGTCTTTGGGTTTTAAGCGATAGTTTAGGTTCGTTTTGCCTTATGTTTTTACCTAGGATATCAAATTTGCATGGTTGATAAAAACAAACTTCTACAGAAAAGAATTTGAAATCGTTTCGGCTCTTCTCAAATTGCCGTAAAACCTTTTAAAAGTATAAAGATATTAAAAGTTTCTGTATTGCCCATCGTTAGTTGTGTTGTGTGGTACTTCAACGTGAATTTAAATTGGAATTTAATTAAGATGCTCATGACACCCTAAAACTAAAATGTTGTCAAACATCAAAAGTGGCATCCTTTTATAAGTAACCCTTGTATTTTGATAACATTGTAAGATTAAACTTTTCAATATTTTGAAAATAAACTCTTTTGTTTAAATAAAAAAATTTTGATGAAAATAAGAATCAGATTTTTTATTATTTTATTTCTATCAAATCTGTCCCAAAACGAATCTTGTCTTTTAACACTTGACTGAAATCTGAGCTTTAAATATATCAACAATTTGTGTTGTATTCCAACCAACCAACCATTTAATAGATAATACAGCAAAAATAGACATTGCGTCATGGGATGTCATGCTTTTGCGTAAAACATGTAAACAATTCGTACTGTAAAGATAAACAAAAGCCTGTTTTGTTTGTTTAAAATTGCATTTGAGAATAAAACCCTCTTCTTGTTCTAATGTAGTCATACCTACACGTACAAACATATCAAAAGAAATTAAGTCTTTGCTACAAACTCTACAATCCCAATATCTTTAAAAATCAATGCCGTATAGACCTAGGACATTATAAACTATGAATTCTGTTATCTCAAATTATCTAAGTTAACAATTGCAAACGTATACACCATCAGGTTGCAAAGATATAGGGGTTGGACGATTTGAGTTTGTGGCAAAAACTCAATTGCTTATTTCCAGATGAACACTTACATATCCTATGACGCATTTATGTCTTTTTGCTGTCTTTGTAATTTCATTAATCTATGGTTCCAACCTTTAATGCAAGTGTGCTGTTAGAACCAAACATATCCTTCGAACTAAAGGCTGGGGCTGATTCTCTACAAATATGGAAAATATAATTTATATTTTTCAAAACAGTTTTAACACGGAGCAACAATGTATTTCGTTTACAGATTTTGTTTTGAAATATATTTTGCACTAATTATTTAATAATCTATTATTGATAAAAACTACAAGTAATCTTCCAGCTCTTCTAAATGAAATTATTGTGGAACTTTATGTAGCTTCAAGGGACTGTAACCATTATTTCAAGTGACCCTCAAAGGAACGGAAGCAAAATTACTTAATTAACAAAGGAACAGAGGCAAAATTACTTAATTAACAAAGGAACTGAATCAAAATTACTTAATTAACAAAGGAACAGAGGCAAAATTACTTAATTAACAAAGGAACTGAATCAAAATTACTTAATTAACAAAGGAACAGAAGCAAAATAACTTAATTAACAAAGGAAGAGAAGCAAAATTACTTAACTAGCAAAGAAACAGAAGCAAAATAACTTAATTAACAAAGGAACAGAAGCAAAATTACTTAATTAACAAAGGAACAGGAAGCAAAATTACTTAATTAACAAAGGAACAGAAGCAAAATAACTTAATTAACAAAAGAAGAGAAGCAAAATTACTTAACTAGCAAAGAAACAGAAGCAAAATAACTTAATTAACAAAGGAACAGAAGCAAAATTACTTAATTAACAAAGGAACAGGAAGCAAAATTACTTAATTAACAAAGGAACAGAAGCAAAATAACTTAATTAACAAAAGAAGAGAAGCAAAATTATTTAAATAACAAAGGAACAGATGCAAAATTACTTAAATAACAAAGGAACAGATGCAAAATTACTAAAATAACAAAGGAACAGAATCAAAATTACTTAAATAACAAAGGAACAGATAAAATTTTAATGTTTCACTTGAATTTATGATGTCATCCCCTTTCTGGAGGGTGTTGGTCTGACAAATATTTGTTTTCAAGATTTTGAAGAGAGTTATAATTATGTTTGGAAACAAACTAATCAAAACTTTGTAAATTCTAACCTAGAGTTTAGAGACACAACTTCCCCACTCTCAGCATCATATATTGTCATTAAAAACCCACCTCCTAGACAACAAAATATAAACCAATGTGAGTATTTCATTTAAAGGGAGTGTTCGCGAAAATATTAAAGGAGGATTGGCTGAATTCGGATTTGATTATATATTCGACATATAAATAGAACTGCTTGCACAGTGATCAAAAGGTTGGAAGTTTGTTGAGAATTTTGCCAACTACTTCTTAAAATCTAAACATAAAAACAATTGCTTTATATAATATAATATAATATGCACCCTAGGTTTACAAAGAGATAGTTAGGTAAAATCAATGGCAAAGGCGTTGCGACACTTTAAAGTGGATCCCGTCCTAAAAATGTCATGGTAGTCTGGATCTATGTTCTCGAAAACTGTTTTTTTTTATAAATAAACGTCTGTTTATAGCAAACACAAATTTCACATGCATGGTCTTTCCTGGTGTGGCTAGGAACATACAGTCCTAAGTTTAACATCTTGATTTTTATTTTGACAAAACTGCTTTCTAGCAATCCTAACTCGTCCTAACAGTGAAGTCAAATCTTACAGAAAATTTTACACATTCCGTTACCGTAGTTGTTATGTTTCAAGATTTAAATCTTAATTTCGTTTAATCAAAAAAATGTCTCAATTTTATCTATAAAATTTAAAATGTCATTAACCCACTAGCGGCTGCGGTGACTTATACGTCCCCTATAAATTATTTTACATAAAACTCATCTATTTTCCTCAATTTTGAGTTTATCTCCGCGGGAGTCATTTTATGATACAGTAAACAATATGGGACACACATGTGTACAGTTAAACGGTTCTACCTACTCATCTTCCAAATTATTTAACCGTGTAAAGTTGAGGTNTTATTGTTTTTTAGTAATGTTTGAAAATAAAGAGTAAACGTATTGTTGGGTAAATAATAGTTCCTATGGCCATTTATATAACATTTTAGTTAATTAATTTTGCCTTTCTCATAAATTTAGGAAAAATTCTGTAAACCCGCCCTGCAGCAACTGTGGTGACTTATAAGGCCACTCTTAAAATCCCTAAAAAAACACCTTTTAAAATTTTTTTTTTGCATTTTTTACTTTTTTTCCTTGATCTAACCAATAATAAGTATTCTTAATCAAATTTTCAAAGAAAAATATAAAAAAAAATTCTTCAGCCGCTAGTGGGTTAAGAAGGTTAATCGCAAATTTCAAAAACTCCTAAAATTGTTTCTCTTTATTTTGGTATTTAAGGAGTCTTTAATAATCAAAACTAATAATTGAATATTTAAAATTTAAGAATTCTATGTAATTGTAAACTGAGTTAAGGTGATTATGCAGAATTACTGTTATGACTTTGCCACCTTGTAACTTTCATTTGACGCCTAAGAGTAAGAAATAAAAACTTGTTTTTTGTTATGTATGGTTTCAAAACTTATTTTTTCTGATCAAAGCTCGTTAAATAACCGATTTACTTCATTTTAATGATTACAAACGTTAATTTAGGAAAACTTTAGAATTAAGATTGGATGAGAAAGCTTTCTGTTCAATCAAAAGAGATCCTTTGCCAAAATAATGTTTGCAGAGTTCTAAAGCAGAGTTTTGAAATACCTGGCTACCAAGAGATAAGACTTTAGAGAGGTACAGGGTTGCCAACAATTAATAAGAATTCAGAGACGACTACGGATTTATTTTTATTTTTACGTTAGTAATTTTCTGGAGCTGTACAGCAATAAAGTAGTTAATCTGGAGTTTAGGTCGGCACAGTTTTAGGTCGTTACTAAAATCAAATCCTTTGCGGGGGATGGAAATAAAAATAGACACAGATTTTTATTTAAACTTGTGTTTATACCATTTTCTACATTTAAATTACAGTTTTTATTTGTTTATTAATTATGTTTTTATTAACATTCACCAGATATTAATCAGTTTTAAAGCCAGAAATGTTCTCCAGTTTTAGATAAAATGCTAACAATGGAAATTCCACTTATGAATATTAAATATTTTATTGAAATTTGAAAATAGTTTTCAAAATTTCTAGTTTTATTAGATATTCGAGGGGTTTATGATGATGAGTAGTTATGAGAAAAATCTATAAAACGCAATTTTTATGGACAATTAGAGAATAGAGATTAAAGAATTTTTTCTATCATATAATTTACTCTTTATCTACGCAAATTTATTTTAAATACTATCTGGAGCACCCGACGTTGCCCAAGTTTATATTTTTTATGGTTTTAGCTAAAATGCCCGGCATTGCCCGAGAAAATTTCAAAGATTTCGAAAAAAATTTGCCTATGTCACCCCTTGGGGTCAGCATGGAATTCCAATCAATTTTTAGCCAATATTTTTAAGTCGTTTGGCCATTTATAGCGAACAGAAGTACATGTACGGTCCGTATAAATATATGTATATAAGAGAAAAAAGCTTTATTAAGCAGAAAATAAAGGACATAAAACTCATTAAATTGTGATTAAATTCCTGTATCTCTGCCTGCTCAAGAATGAACGGATATTAATATTGATGTTTTCCTGCCTGCAACAGATTCTGTTTGAATCTATCTTTTGTATCCTTAATTTAATATCCAATAAACACACTCGGGAGAATACGCAACAATAGGAAATGGAGAGGGGGGGGGAATGGATGAAGGGAAAACAATATATTTGTATAAGTTGAAGGAAAGGAATGTGGAGGGGAATCGAAAGAGAGGGGAGAAAATTGTTAAAAACGGACGGAGCAGAAGAAAAATTTAAGAAAAGAGTATATAGAAGTGGAATGAAGAAAAAAGATAGGACTAATAACTGAAAAGAAGTGGAAATTGGAGAAGAGATGAAATGTTAAAGATTTGATTAGTTTATTGAGTGGGAAAAGAAAATTTAATATAAATAGGAGGGGGATAAGAGGATAACGGACTAAGTGCAGGGGAAAGAGAAGGAGAAGAGATGGAATAGAATGTGCAGAATGATGATAAGGGAAGAGGAAAAGGGAAGGATGGACATGAAGGTGCAGGGATAAATGGAGAAAATGATTCAATAGAAAAGGTTGGAGGGATGTAGAAAAGTGGAAGAGAGGGATACTGGTGGAGAATGGATATAAATTATTATGAGGAAAACGGAGGTAAGAGGGAGGGGGGGGGGTATGTAAGAAAGAAAGGGAAAGTGTTGATGCGCTCCAGGTATGAAAATATTAGGCGTGAAGGATTAGCAACATGATAGAAGGGAGCCAGGGGGAAATCTACAATCCCTCATAATCCCCCCCCCCTTCATTCTCACCTAAATTCTTCTCGATCTACAATTTTTAAATTTGTATTTTATGTTATATATTCTGACCTTTTTAATATAATCTATAAACTTTTGATATCATTCCCCGGCCGTACTATTTATATTAATTAACCTTCCCTTTCTCACACTCATTTTTGTTGGCTTGTTTTAAGGTTAGATAAATCTTTATACAAAATTTATGTACCCCCCCCCCCTCCCATTGTTTTATTTAAAATCTTAATCAATTTCTTTTTAATTATGTTATGTAGTTTGACCAAATTTATCAAGTAGCAGTCGAACTACGTAAACTAAATTTTGTGCCATTTCTCTTAAACGTAAACCTGCGCGAAAAGAACAATTATTTTATGTCACGTGCTTGTTGCCTTTTTATAGAATCAATAGAAATTTCTACTATCTATTATCCATCTATCTAATTAATACAATTAGAGATGAATCCTGAAATCAGTATTGAATAAGCGGATATGTTTGCCTCTATTTCTTGCTATTTAATAAAGGAATGGAGTCTTTGTCACAAACTCTGATTTTCAAATCCCTATATTAGATATTTCAAACTATGAACCTTGTTAGATTAAAAATTCAAAGTTTGAAATATCAAAGGTCTATATTATCAGGTTTCAGGGATATAGGGATACGAAAACTTATGTTTGTGGCAAAGACTCAATTCCTTTGGTCCCAAAGAAAAGAGTCTCTAAAATAAGTTATAGTCCTGGATCAAAAACAATTCGGACACTTTTTTCTCGTCAAATCATAAAATTCTACCGGCCATGGCATCAAATATTATTGTTTTTAATGTTTATCAATTCATCTCAAAACGATATTCAAAATACTTTTTGAAAACGTCCCAATGATTTTTTACCCATTTGCGTAGCTTTAAAAATATTTAAACATTTTTAAATTGTTCAACCTAGAATTTGAACTTGTGTGTAGCATTTACATGATTTACCAAATTTCAGAAATAAAATGAGATGAGAAAAATAACCACTGGGCACTCCGTAGAAATTCCTATTTTAAGCCAAATTAAATATTTTTCTTGAAATCTCTTATCTTTTCCATCTTATTAAAGGGAGTGTTTGCGAAAAATGAAAGGGGATATAGGCGTGCGGCGAAAAATAAGCGCTTTGATTGCTAATAATAATACTTCTATCTGTTGCGTCAATAAGGAGAAAATTGTTAAAAACGACTAATACTGAAGAACGAAGTGTCCATATAAATTCAGAAAGATGCAACATTCAACTCGGATCGTAAACAAATCAATTTAATTCCAAACAAATCATTCAGACATTACAACCTATAGTCATCGATTATCTTTCGCTACATTTGTATATAGTTTATATTTGATAATATTTTTAAATTAATTTTTTTATCTTTTATTTTCTTAAAAGACGTTTTTAACGGATTTCGAAAAATGTGAGTGGTGCGCGACATTCTTAGATAGTTGCGCAAGCGACAAGAGAAAAAATCAAATTCAAAACAAATTAGTTTAAAAATATTATAAAGTATAAACTATATACAAATGTGGCGAAAGATAATCGATGACTATAGGTTGTAGTATCTGAATGATTTGTTTGAAATTAAATTGATTTTTTTTACGGTAAGTCGTATGTTGTAATTTTCTCAATTTGTATGGACGCTAAGTTATTCGGTATGAGACGTCTTTAACAATTTTTTCCTTATAGACGCAACAGATAGAAGTAAGATTAGTAGCGATCAAAAGCGCTTTTTTATCGCATTAAGCCTATACCCCTTTTCATTTTTGCGAACACTCCCTTTAAATTGACTAAAATGAGAAGAACAAGATGTTTTGAATTCTATTCAATTCAGTATAATGTAAAGTGTACTTTGCCTAATTAAAGTCATGACTAAAGAAGCTACAAAGTCACAAAGTCGTACCAGGGATGTCGCATGAATTTAACCTTGTCATTAATCCTATTTTGTTGAATTTGATATGAAACCCCTCACCCTACCGGACCCCTTCACTCCCTCCCTGTTGAAAATATATAATCCCCCTACCCCCCCTCTTCCTCCTGAAACCACTCACCCTACCGGACCCCTTCACTCCCTCCCTGTTGAAAATATATAATCCCCCTACCCCCCCCCCTCTTCCT